GCCTTAGCTCAGTGTGCCACCCAGGAAACCACATGGGAATCAGAGCAGAGGGACCCACTGCTTGGGGGCTCCTGTGCCTGTGGAAGCCAGGCCAGGTGACACCTGCTCCTCAGCCCAGTGGCCTAGTAGGCGGTTCTCAGGCACCCAAACACTGCAAAGCCGGGGAGAGCTGAGACATGTGGCCCCAGGACACTGTGCCAGGCAGGCGGGCCACGTGCACAGCTGGGGGTAACCTTGGGGTGCTGCAGGGGTGCTGAGTATGGCTTCCACAAGGCCACGCTCATCTGCTTGTCAGTGTTCATGTCCAGGACTGCCCAGGATTTGTCCTGCATGAATTCCCTCAAGCTCCCGGGGGTGTCTATCTCTCTCCTTCAGGATTTGGTGACCAGGGCTCTCACTACTGCAAGCCAGCCACACGCCTGACCTAGAATCCACACAGGAGAGGCTAAGAAGTGTCATCCTGGCTTCTCCTGCCCAGGTTTGGATCCTGGCCCTGCCACTTGCTGGGTGAGCTACTTAAGCTCTGAGCCTTGATCTGCTCTGTAAAATCACATCACAGTCTACCTCCCTGGAAGACTATAATGCAGCCTGAATGACATCAGTCATTCATTCAACAAATGTCTCCTGAGCACCTGCTCTGGGCACTGAGAATACAGTGTGAACAGAACAGGCACAAGTTCCTACCCTTCTGGAACCTGTATTCTAGTAGGAGGAGCTGACAACAACTGCGGTAAGCGAACAGGTCACCAGTGAGGTAGTGGTAAGTTCTATGAAGAAAGATCAAGCCAGGAAGGGGACAGCAAGTGCCAGGGGATTTGAAACAGGAAGGCCAGGACAGCCTCACTGGACAGCTATTCCGAGGAAAGATGAAAAGGAAGTGTGGGGAGGGGTCAAGGGGCTCTCCCAGGGAGGGGCCGAGTGTTCCAGGTGGAGGGAAGAGCCAGTGCAAAGGCCCTGAGGCAGGAACATGTCTGGTAGGTGTGAGAAAGGTGGCTGCAGCAGAGAAGGTAGGAGAACAGCAGGAGGGGCCACCAGAGGGGAGGGGAGGAGGCAGGCCAGTAGGCCTTGACTCTGAGTGACATGGTAGGCACGGAGACTCTTGAGCAGAGGGGTGACAAGATCTGATGCATATGTTTAAGTGATCATTCCTTCTACTGTGTGGAAATGGACCACAGGGAGTAAGGGCAGAAGCAGGGACCCCAGGCAGGCGGCCAGAATCCAGGTGAGAAAGAATAAAAGGGCATGGCCCGGGGTAGCAGCAGGGGAGATGGTGACATTGCTCACAGTCTGGATATATTCTGAAGGTGGCACCCGCAGGGAGTGCCGACGAGTTGAACAGAGGGGTGTGAAGGAAAGAGGTGAGTGTCGAATAATGCCAGGGTTTGGGGCCCGAGCCAGGGGCCCCAGAAGACCTCAGCATTGCTCACCTACAGCAATACATGTTGGCCAGTGTTAGTAGTTAGAGGAGAGGAGGACATGGCCTGCGAGCAACCTTCCTGGGGCAGTCACATGAGGAGGCGAACACCTGGACGACTCCGTGGCAGGCTCACTAAAGGTGTCTATAAAGAACGCCCTTTCTGTGCAGGGGGCCAGCGGTGTAGGAGAGCAACCGCCAGCAGTCGGGAGGTGGGCCCCACTCCCCACTTGAGGAAGTGAGGGGTGGCCTGGGATCAAAGCCGAGGGGCTCGGCCTGCCGCTTACCTCCCCACCAAGCCTGGGCTGTCAGGGGCCTTGCCTTCCCTGCAAGATGGAAAGGGACACGGTCCTCCCACCCCAGCCCCCGTGAATGCCCACGGCCCCTCCAGCAGCACACTTGAAAGAGGCCGGGGGTTATCTGTAAAATTCCAATTAAATCCACAGGCTTTGATAATTTGATAAGCCACTCCACAGTCGCCCCAGAGTCAAAATATGCTGTTACTTGATCCTGTGTTTATGTTTCAGGATGGAGGGGGGAGACCTGTGAAGGTGCAAGCAGCCCTAAGAGGGAAAGGATGCAGGCACCAGGCTGATAGATCATCAGCCTATCAGCCCAGGGTCACCTACAGGTCTGGGCTCGTATGGCAAGCACACTCTGCAGTGGAACACGAGTCTCTCTTGGCAGGTCCTGTAGGCCAAGTGGGGACAGGGGAGGAGAAGCCCTTCAGAACTATCTGGCCACAGCTAACCCTACTTCCTGAGCCTCAGGCCTGTCTCATGCTGGAAGGGCTCCTGTCCTCAGGCCATCTCTTGCCAGACCCATAACCACCTCAAGAAAAAGGCAGATAACACCATTGCCATGGTGATGTGGAGCCCAAATGCTTTACAACTCCTCGTGCAAAAGCCAGGCTGTGGTCTGCAGGGGTGAAGCGCGCACTAAGCCACATTCCATTCTGTTTCACGACCTTCCAGGAACAAAACTGTTGAGCACTTCCTATGTGTCAATGGCATCTGGCCAGGTACGCGTTACCTCTGTAAGCCCTCCTGACCACTCCATGAGTTCCACATTATCTCGTTTTAAGGATGGGAAACAGAAAGGCAGAGGGGCTGAGCAATGGTCAGCGATCACAGAGCCATGAGTGGCAGGCCCTGACCCCGGAGCCTGGCCCCACAAAGCTATGGCTGCTGCTTTGCCAACACATAACTGTCTCCCTGACCCTGGTTCCCACCATTCCTGGATGGTCTCCTGGAGACGGGCAAAAGGCTAACCTATTGCCCAATCGTGAGCAGGTCGAAACAGGACCAATTTATGTAGCTGACTGGCAGAGAGTGGGGTTTCAAGACACAAATCAAAGGCAGGGTCAGTCACGATCCCTCTCCCCTCCTGTAGGCACATGATCACATGTGAGTCCAGTGACAACCCTCCTGGAAAGGGGCATGTCTCTCCCCACAGAAGTAAGGCCATCCCAGCTGGGAAGTGGCAGAGTTGCGTGTGGACCTAGGGAAGCTGCTGCTGGTCTCAAGAGCTTTCCTCTGGCCCGGAAGAGTGAGGAAGAATGGCAAGGAGAGCACAGAGAGGGGGCACACAGGGGACACACTGAGAGGCATCGGGACCACAGTCTGGTCCTCTGGTTGCTCCCCAAACCAGGGAGGCAGGAGGAGTGGAAAGAATATGGGCTTCTGTTTGGCACCAGCCAATTGTGGGTTCAAGTCCCAGCTCCAGCGGTGAACCTGTTTCTTGATCTACAACGTGGGGATAAGGATGTAGGACGCCTGGTGCACACTCTCTCATGAGCCTGGCACACAGTAGGTATAGTGAGCGTGATGCTTCTCCCTCTGCTGAGAACACACATTCATATCTCATTTTGACATTTGCCAAGCTCCCGCCCGACCCTCATGTCACTTGAGTTTCACAGACAATCCTTGGAGGTGGCGTGATCAGGGGTCAGTCACTATCCCTTTGCACAGATGAGAAAAGAGAGGCTTAGGGAGTGACCTGCCTTGAAGTCGTGTGTCTAATAAGCAGCAGAGTTAGGCTATGAAGTCAAGATGGTGCGCCTTCTACCTGGTGGTTTTCAACTACTCCACCCTGAACCAAATCACTGATGAGCGTCTGATGGTTCCCAGCTTTTGCAGCTTTTGTTTCTTAATCCTGTGGCAGCCAGCAAGGGAGACAGCCTTTGTCAGGCCAGGTGAGCCTCTGGGCCAGATAATGCTTTTTCTGCCCTCAAAGGGCCCACGCCATTTTAGGCTGTCTTACAGCATGGGTGAAAAGAGAAAGGCCCTTTAGGCAGGACTGCCACGTGTGGGTGGGCACGCTGTGCACTTTACAACCGCTGTGGGCACCATGCACAGAAAATGCCGCATGAGCGGCACCCCTGGAGCTGTGCAACCCATACCCTTGTCGTCAGGTTTTCTCCTCCCCACCACCAGACGGCCCCTGCCTCTCCCTACCTGCCCCAGACAATTCCTCTGTACTATTCTTTCCCTTCCCTCTGTAATACCCATCCCACCTGCCTCTCTCTTGGTGCCATCCTGGTACTTTAAGGTTTCAGGGGGAACAGAGCTATGGAGTGAGGTGACCAGTTAGCATCCCCTTCAAGTCTTCTCCCCAATCCTCTCCCATTCCCAACACACTTCCCTGGCTGCCTGCTTCTGCTCAGCAACTCCTGGGTGGAAACCAGATTTTTCTCTCCATGGAGAACCCACTCTAGGGTGTGTAGGTGAGAGAACCGTTCTGAGCAAGAGAGGGTGGCCATCAGGATGGAGTTTGGTCATGTGCGTGAGAAGCCAGCACGACTAGGGGTGTCATCTTGACCACCAGGCCCAGAGTATCCTGCATCCAGTGAGAAAAAAGACCTGCTTGGTTCCACATTTCTCTCCAAAACATGGAAACAGCAGGCAGCCCTGAGCCACTAGGAATCAGAAATTCAGGTTCAAGTCTGACACTTGTCACATACCCATCCAGCTGTAAGGCTTTGGGAAAATCACCTAACTTCACTGGGACTCAGTTTCCTCTTCTATAAATAGGGCTACTAATGTCTGTCATAATATGCCACAGGTAAAAGCTATTTGGTAACACTCCACGCACATCCATTGTTAGTTTTTATGAAGATTGTAAGACCTGTTGCAGCAGCTCAGGACTGCCGAGTTATTCAGCGAGTGAGTTTCCGGCCAGAGCAGTACAGGTCCCTCTAGGCCTGTATTTCAGGTGGGAGCTTGGTAGCATCAACAATCAAGGGCAATGACTGCTAAGCCTGGGCATGTGAATGGCATGACCATTATATTTTCTGTTATTGCATCTGCTCCTTACAATAAACTATGAGTTAGAAAGTTTGTAGGAAAACCTGCTCCCCAGATGCAGAGACATCCTCACTTGCAAACCTTGGGATAAAGGGAAATGAGGAGCAAACTTTGGCAACAGGAGTCTGGGAAATGGTCCCCAATACTCTGGCCCATCTTGGCTTCGCCTGGGTGGCCTTGCCAGCTCTCCCTCTTGTGTCCCCACATCCCGACCTGCGGGCTGGACTCAGCGTTAGCTCACACCTGCTGAGCACACAGGAGACGCCAGAGCTCCCACTTACTCTTTTGGGGGGTTGACATCCTCTGGTCGGGCCTCAAAGAACCGAAAAACTTCATCACACTGTGAAATGTGAGGAGGCAGCCGGACAAGCGCCTGTGGAAAGACAAGAAGAAAGGATATTAGGCCTAATGAAACGGGAACCAGGAAAACCAAAAGCAGGGTCAACTGGGGCCGTGATGGGAGAGGCTCAAAATCTGTGCTGTGAAAGATAGTTAATAGCTACCTTCCCGCCCAACCAGGCAACTAATCAACAAATTAACCAATCAGCTAACTACTGAAATAACTCCCCATCTGTCCATCCGTCTGTCTGTCCATCCATCCATCCCATCAACTAACTAACCAGCCAATAATCACAAACCAACCAGTCAACCAATAAAAATAACTAGCTAATCAGTCAACCAATCAACTTATCAATCATCTAGCCAAGGGCCAGCCGAGTGGCGCGGTGGTTAAGAGCTGGCTTGGGATGCCAGAGGGCCCCGGTTCGGATCCCACATATGAGTGCCAGTGACACTGCCCTCCACAGCTAAGATGCTAACCAACAGCTCAACCTGGAGCTGGGCTGCCGTGAGTCGCCGGAGACGGCGTAGGCTGCAGCCCCTGTGGCAGTGGGTTGCCACGGGCTACCGTGTGTAGCCAGCAGCCAGCATGAGTGGCTGTCCAGAAGCCAGTGACTGATCTGCCTCGCCCGGGAAGAGTGCAATGATGGTGCCAACTTGGGCCAGTGAAGCAACGTCCTCCACAACCAGACTGAAGAACAAAAGGACAGCAACTTGTCTGTTCCCCTTCCCCCCAATTCCCCAGTGCTGTTCCCATCCCCCAATTCCCCAATAAAAAAATCTTAAAAAAAAAAAATCATCCAGGCAACAATTCAACCAAGCAAGCAACCAACCATCCAACTAGCCAGTCAACCAACTAAACAACCAGCCAATCAAATGAAAAACAATAACCATTGAACCCTAGGTCCCAGGGCCCTCAGGAACTACTAATTTTTCATGAACCCTGTAAGAATTCCCTTTTGCCCCCAGAGTAAGTCCAAGATCCTTAGCCTGACAACCCAAGGTCTTATCCTACCAGGCTTGTCTCCCACTAGCCACACCCTAGCTGCACCAGATACTCACAGTCCCCAAACACTGACTGCACAATTAACCATTTATCAACATGTTGATAATTCTACCAAAAACAACAGGGTGCTACCACAGACTTTGAGAGAACCTAGGAAGTTTAAAAGGGAGGGGGCGGGGTTAGACTCTTTGAAGCTAAATTCTGAAGGATGGGTAAGATTTAACTGGTCAAAGTAGGTGAGGCGATCAAGCATGGCGGTTCCAGGAGCTGAATGGGGTCAGTGTGGCCTGAGAGCACTGAGCCAGGGAGAGGGGGCAGGGCCTGATCTAGCAGGGTCTTATTTAGGCTCAGTTGAGGGTGCCTTGAGGGACAGTACAAGCTGAAGGGTGTAGAAAGGCTTCTTTGAGGAGTGGGCATGAGCTAGGTTAAAGGGATTTGCAGGGCTTGGACAGAGAGAGGAGTGCTCATCCTATGAGGGGTAACTGTCCAGCGAGGGGTGTGGGCCAGCTATGAGCTTGTTGTCCAGCAAGGACTGAGAGTCTGTTGTCAGAAAGTGAGGGACTAGGGTCAGACAATGGTCAGAGTTCCTGCTGCATGCCAGCACAAACTCCACACCTTGCAGCCCCGGGCCCACGGGACCCTTGACCTGGTCCAGATCAATATGGAGGGGTGGGGGGATAGGATGAGGCCAGGTGGAACCCTGCTTCCTGGGCCCCTCAATTCAGTATGGAGAGAAAACACTGGAATGATCCTTTGGTCCAAACAGACAGGAGAGGTCACTGCCAAAGCTGGGCTAAGGGACAGGGCCAAGGCAACTCTGGGCTGGAGACAGGAGAAGGAAGAGGAAAAGCCAGGACTGTGGGAGTGTGACGAACTGCTGATAAAGTGGTCAGTCAGACAGGATCCTGTGATGAGCCGGTGTCTGCCCAGCCCCATCCACCAGGGCTGCTTTGCGTGCAGTGATCTGATCCAGTGGTTCCCCTGTGCCAAGCATGCTGGGGCCTCCCTGTATGTGGTCACTGGGACCCCTCATGATGAGATCATCAGGGCAGATCTCATCCACATGTTACAGATTTGGGGACAGAGGCTCAGGGAGGCCATGTGGCCCGCCCACAGGCCCGTCAAGGGTGGGAAAGACCATGCTAGAAGGTAAGCGCCACGTGGGCAGGGATTCTAGTCTGATCTGTTGACTGCTGTGTCTCCAGATCCTAGAAGAGTGCCGGGCACAGAGCAGCCACTCAATAAGTATTTGTCTGAATAAATGAATGGATGAGTGAGTGAATGAATGAATGATTGAATGAATGAATGAGTGAATGAATGAGTGAGTGAATGAATGAATAAGGGTTTGAGTATGTAGAAGCTCATTATCCGATAGTAGTGTGACAATAATGGGGTAAAGCACACGTGGTCTTGGGTTGCATCAACAAAATTATCATGTTGAGCAAGAAGAAGTGACAGTTTAATTCTTCTGTGAGCTGGTCGGGTAACAATTCAAGTGTGGCATTGAGCACTAGGTGTCCTACCATAATGGGCCTTCTTGATGCCAAACCCACACTCGGGCAAGATGAGACAAGATCCTACCACTGCAGATAAGACAACACTATGCAACTCCCAGCTGATGCTTCTAGAGCCCGTGGCTTTTCAAGGGTCTCTAACAGATCACAGCATCATGAATAGCCAGGAAACAGAAAAGAAGGGACATGAACATTTAATGAGCAACTACCATGTGTCAGGCACTGTCCTAGCACCCTACTCTCCAATTATCTGACAAACAGTGAGGGCTTTTCAGTGTGTGCCTGACACAGCTGTGCCCTAGTGTCACAGGGCTGAGCCAGACACAGCCCTTGACCTTGCAAGAGCACATCTGATGATGTGTTGCCCCGTTTTGTCCTGGAGCTAGACATCGTTGCCTCTGTTTATGATGGGGACACTGAGGCTGATGGGGGATGAACCACAACTAAAGTCAGTGGCAGAATGAAGACCTGTGCTCAGAAGGATGGGTGGAACTTGCCCCACAATGTTTGAGATTTCATTTAACACACATGGTATGTGCTGTTTTCTTCCCCAGGAAGGGTAGAAGGAAAAGGGAAAGAAAAGCTGAGGAAGAAGAGAAGGAAAGAGAGACAGAGAGGGTAGGGGAGAGAAAGAAAGACAGAGATGGAGGGAGGGAGACAAAGAGATAGAAACAGAGACAGAAAGACAGAGAGATGGAAAGAGAGAGACAGAGATGGAGACAGATACAGAGAGACAGCTATACAGAGAGAGACAGAGACAGAGAGACAGAGACAAATAGAGGAAGATGGAAGGAGAGACAGAGACAGAAGTGGAAATCCAGCACGTGCAGAGCAAGTGCTCCTGGCAGGAGGCAGAAGAGCCCATTACCAGGGACCCAGGCTGTGTACTGAGTCGCTGTCAGGGTGACCTCCCTGAAAGGGACAGGGAGGGAATGCAGGGCAGGTTTCCAGCAGGCCCAGAGTGCTAGCATCCTCTTAGCTCAGCGCACTGTCACCCACCCAGGCGCAGACCCGGGTCGGGCCACAGATCACCCAGCACCAGTGGTGAACACAGGCGCTCTTCAAAGACCGGCATTCCGGGGGCAGAGGACGCGTGGGCTGTGAGGGCTTCAGACAAAGGGGCCTTCTAGTTGAACCACCACGGCATCTTTATTTAACAGGGAGCCTGAGGGGAGCTGCCTTGAGGGCTCGTCCTGAATTCAGGCTGACAAGAGGCTCTCAGCTCAGAGCTGCTTCCATCAGAGCTGCTGCCAAGCCCAGCTCTGGCCAAAATCATTTGGCAGGAGAGCTGAGTGCTGAGCAGTCAGTCCTGGAGGCCTGGGCTGGGGACAACTGCCAGAGCTGGGGAACCCCCACACCCAGCCATTCTCAGAGGAGCAGGTGGGGGCCAATACGTGTTGGGCACCATCCCTGGCGCAGGCCTAAAATTCTGCCATTGGAAATTCCAGATGCATGCCATGAGGTTAAGCCAGGGCCTGCGGCCAGGTAGGTACGGGTTTGAGTCCCGGCTCTGCCATTCACAGGTTGTATGACACTGAATGTGTTAACTTCCCTCTCTGAGCTCAGTGCAATGGGTTTGATATGTCACCTACCTGTTAGGAGGTTAAAGTGTGGTCATCAATATGAGGAGCCTAGCACAGTGCCTGGCACCCAGTAAACAGTAAGTATTAGCCGTTACACTATGGTCTTCATTGTCATTATTCTGTAGGTGAAAGCAATGATTCATACAAGAAAGAACACTGGAAGGGGAGTCAGGAGACCTCAACTCTAGTTCCAATTCTCTGGTTGTTTCTTCTAGGATAAAATAGACTAGCTCTAGATTCTTAAACGATAGCTCCTGGAACACCTGTTTGATGAGGTAAAAGAAGTTCTGTGGGCCCATGTGAAAGGGTGTCTTGTAGAGTCCCATCTTGGTCTTCAGATCGCCATGTTCATTAGCATAGCAAAGGCCCTGAGAAGTCCTGCAGGAAAGAAACCTGTAGAGCCTTTTTTTGGGGCCAGCATTTATTAATAATAATGACATCCTGGGGGACTGACTCATTTAATCATCACATTAACTCCAAGAGCCGGGCATGACTATGATTCCAATTTTACATAAGAAGAAACTAAAGCACAAAGAGGTAAGTCATTTCCAAGACCACACAGCTAGTAAGTGGCAAGATTTTGAATCAGGTAATCTAGTTCAGAGCCTATGCTCAGTCTGATCTAAGAAAATGTACTGCCTCTGACATTACCCACAAGCTGGTTTTCCAAACAATTCTTAGCTGACAGCCGGTGGAACACAGATGCGACAAATCCAGGCTAGAGACATTCTGAAGTTTTTTCCACCTCTAACAATCGATAGCCCCAGGACTGTAAATAGCACCATTATTAGTGAATTCAGTGTCAGATCTATCCATCAATCTCACTGACTCAGGTGAGGTTGGAGGGTCCCAAAGACCCCTAGGTGGGAAAAGGGCTGGAACGAGCATGACCTCAGCATCTCGGGAGGGGCCACTGCCTCGCAGGGCTGCT